TCAGCACTTGAAGTCGGCCGCTTATTTCATTACCTCAGTGAGAAGTGTGTGTGTGGTTTCGGCTTTGATAGATGCGACCGGTTTCTCTGTGTTCGACAGAGATTTCTGTGCCAAACGTCAATATGGGCACAAAAACGTCTTAGTAATGACTTTCTGTCCTCTCACGCATGACTCTTACGCCGGGCCCCTGACAGCCCTGACACTAGACTTCTCCATTCTGTGTGTTATTGATCAGGTACATCTAAAACATCTCGAATGACCCTAATGAGCACTAGACCAGACGTTTTGTGGCTGCTGCAGATTGAAATCGACACTATGTTCAGAAGCAAACAAGAACATCTGACACTTACACGAGTGGCACACTGAATCACATCTCGTGCCTCATTAATACACAAAAGACGACAGTTATGGTAAGATGGTTGATCATGCTTATATGAGCGTGTTTCCATGAAAACTATTTTAGTGCATGCAATTTAATGCAAAACAATAAAACATATGCTTATGGCATATCACCCAAAAATGAACTTGCCTTCATGTCGTTCCAAACTGGGTATAAATTTCTTTCTTCAGTGAAACACAAAAGATGATCTTTGAAAAACATCCCTGTGTCCATACGATGAATGTCAACGCTCTTCAAAATATCTTCTTTTATGTCCCATGGAAGAAAGAATGTCATACAACGTTTGGAATGACATTAAAGGGATAGTTCACCCAAAAATGAAAATTCTGTCATCATTTACTCACCCTCATGTATGGTTTGGAACAGGTTTGGAACGACATGAGGGTGAGTAAATGATGACAGAATTTTCATTTTTGGGTGAATTATCCCTTTAAGGTGATTAAATCATGACAGAATTTTCATTTTGGATGAACTATCCCTTTAAGAGCCTACTGAAAATATTATACCAGTTTTAGGTGATCAGACTAGTCTGTTGCTGATCTGAGGTAGTCTACCGGGTCTAAGTACTTACCAGATCCAACTTGAACAATAAAAGTACCAGCTTAGACTTTTTGGAGCCCTCAGGAATCATCATATACCAGTTTGAGGTGATCAGACTGGTTTGTTGCTGGTTCAAGACCCAAATCAATAGACCCAACTCTAACCAGCTACCTTGCATTTACCTGTCTGTCATGTTTTTCTTATACTATACAGAAATGTTTAGGTTTATAGGTAGGAGTGGGAGTAGCGACTATAAAAATTTTGCATTTGCATTTTATATCCTTTTATATTCGCTATAAAATGGGTAGGTTAAGGTTTGGGGGTAGGTTAATGGGTCTAAAAATCTAAATTGTGTATTAATAAAATTATAAAAATGCATATTTGCTGTAAAATGGGTAGGTTTAGGTTTTGAAGGTAGGTTAAGGGGTCTAAAATCTAAATCGCTTATTGATAAAATGATAGAAAATGCATTTTCGCTATAACATGGGTAGGTTTAGGTTTAGGGGTAGGTTAAGGGGTCTAAAAATCTGAATCGCTTATTGATAAAATGATAAAAATGCATTGATACGAATATCTTAATGATATAAAAGATAAGTAAATATTTGTACGTTTTTTAGCTAAAAATAGTAGCGATTTGTACGTTTTAAACGTTGAAATACGTCTAAATTGTACATTTTAGCATTAATAAAAACGTACAAAAATGTACGTTTTGTGCTTGTAAATGTTACGTGTTAATACCAACGTATAAACACGAGACCAGGCTGTGTGATCGGAGCTGTGTTTTTGTTGTGTCTCGCGGGTTTCACAATAATGGACATGGAATGTCGACGTATATATAGCGATTGAAAGAACGGAAAGGAGGACTAAGAATCTCCAACGACAACTGGCAGTGATACATTTAAGTGCCTGCACTTCAGCGTCCGTCCATCTATCGCTAGGATTAGCGACTACAAAAATATTTTAAAGCTATATTGTTACTAAAATGGTTATTTTCCTGAATATTTCGGTCATTTGCATTTTATATCCTTTTATATTCGCTATAAAAGAAAAGGTTCCTGCGGTGCGAAAGGCCCTATAGTATGGTAATCAGACTGTTTTTGTTGGTCAAACGCAGTCTACCAGCTACTAGTTCCAACTTGGACTATAAATGAGACCTTCAAGAGCCTTCAGGAAATATACCAGTTTTAAGTTGGCAGCCTGGTTTGTTGTTGGTCATAGGTGGTCTACCAACTCTATCTAGCTACCAGTTCCAACTTGGACCATAAATGACCAGCTTAGACCTTCTAAATATGTGAGACTGACTCCTTTAAAGCCCACTGCTAATGGAAATGTGTATGTTCTCCAGCGTGCCTCCATGATGATGATGGGTGTTAACCTGATTAGAGAGAGAGACACTAAAGAAAGCGAGCTGTAATGAGAGAGCGATATCATGTGTAATGGATGTGATATTGTGCACATTACATTACATTATGTCTGCCATCTGTCACTCAGTCTTCTGCGAGCTGTTAGAAATTCTCATGTGTATGATGGTAAATCTCCACGGAAACGGCCTGCAAAACATACTGGAGGATTGGATTGCGGTCTTGTTCGGCGTAGGAGGCTGATAAGTCACCTTCACGACCACCGGCGGGTTTTGTGCTTGTAAATGTTTTATACCTACGTATAAACACGAGACCAGGCTGTGTGATCGGAGTTGTGTTTTTGTTGTGTCTCGTGGGTTTCACAATAATGGACATGGATATGATGGTAAATCTCCACGGAAACGGCCTGCAAAACACACTGGAGGATTGGATTGCGGTCTTGTTCGGCGTAGGAGGCTGATAAGTCACCTTCACGACCACCGGCGACGTCTGTGTGCTATGAGAGCCTGAATCAAGGTTTTTGAAGCATACTGATGTCGTGGTTTTTGTTCAGAGTGGCCGTGATGATTCATAGAACATGCATTTATTCTCCAAACCATCTCGAGTTTGTCAGTGGTTGGTGGAGGGCTGCCTACTTCATATTTAATCTCCCTTATTTGCAAATCTCTGTGTTTATGTGCTAAAAATGTGCTGTATGTGAAATCGGAGCGTGCTGATGAGGTTTGTGGCCCACACACGTGCCCACACAAACACGTAAAGACATGTTTCGATTAAACTGTGGGATATTAAACTACAACAACGCAATCAATTGACAACACTCGAGGATGTATTTGTGCTTCCTGAGAGGTGTCGAGCTCCAGAAAGTTAGTTCTGGTACTAAGAAAAGGTTCCTGCGGTGCGAAAGGCCCTATAGTATGGTAATCAGACTGTTTTTGTTGGTCAAACGCAGTCTACCAGCTCTTACCAGCTACTAGTTCCAACTTGGACTATAAATGAGACCTTCAAGAGCCTTCAGGAAATATATCATACCAGTTTTAAGTTGGCAGCCTGGTTTGTTGTTGGTCATAGGTGGTCTACCAACTCTATCTAGCTACCAGTTCCAACTTGGACCATAAATGACCAGCTTAGACCTTCTAAATATGTGAGACTGACTCCTTTAAAGCCCACTGCTAATGGAAATGTGTATGTTCTCCAGCCTGCCTCCATGATGATGATGGGTGTTAACCTGATTAGAGAGAGAGACACTAAAGAAAGCGAGCTGTAATGAGAGAGCGATATCATGTGTAATGGATGTGATATTGTGCACATTACATTACATTATGTCTGCCATCTGTCACTCAGTCTTCTGCGAGCTGTTAGAAATTCTCATGTGTATGATGGTAAATCTCCACGGAAACGGCCTGCAAAACACACTTGAGGATTGGATTGCGGTCTTGTTCGGCGTAGGAGGCTGATAAGTCACCTTCACGACCACCGGCGACGTCTGTGTACTATGAGAGCCTGAATCAAGGTTTTTGAAGCATACTGATGTCGTGGTTTTTGTTCAGAGTGGCCGTGATGATTCATAGAACATGCATTTATTCTCCAAACCATCATGAGTTTGTCAGTGGTTGGTGGAGGGCTGCCTACTTCATATTTAATCTCCCTTATTTGCAAATCTCTGTGTTTATGTGCTAAAAATGTGCTGTATGTGAAATCGGAGCGTGCTGATGAGGTTTGTGGCCCACACACGTGCCCACACAAACACGTAAAGACATGTTTCGATTAAACTGTGGGATATTAAACTACAACAACGCAATCAATTGACAACACTCGAGGATGTATTTGTGCTTCCTGAGAGGTGTCGAGCTCCAGAAAACCTTCGTATCGAGAGCTTTAATAACAGGGTCTGTGAACTGCTGTGTAATTATGCCATTTCAATAACATCTATAAGAGCTTTTAGTCATGAATAAGTGTTATTCCCACTGATCATCTCATAATACACACAAGCCCTTAAAGGGGTCGCATCAGACGTGTTTTTCTTTACATCCTCTCTTGCTCTGAAGTTCTCTTATTTTTGTGCATAAATATTTGTAGTTACAGCCCTGAAAGGCAATTTGCATCAGTAGAGCATTTCAGTATCAGCTATAATGTGAAAAACAACATGAATTAGAGATTATGCTTAGTAAAATAATACTTTAATGGCACTTGTGTGTGTGTGTGTTAGTTCTACATGTTATATTATATATACACTGTTAGACATTTCAAAGGGTTTTTACAGTTACTTACTGGCAATACTGGCAACTGCCCCGTGGGTTCCGTGTCTTCCTCGGATGCGAGCAGCATGACGCAATACGACAAAAGACAATATAGAACCCATTATAATCAGAGATACTATCTACAATGGATGCGGACAGTAAAGTGATGCCCCAGTATATTTCTGACGTACAGATGTACTCCAAGCACTCGCGCTGTTTCTGACATGAAGGGCAAACGTATTTGCCCAGGATTTCAAGCGATGTAACATGTCCAGTATAGTCAGTCCCAAGCTGTTGAGGCGTTGTAGACACGGTGCAGGACAAATCTTGTCACTCCAAATGTAAGAAGTGAGGAAAATTAAACAACCTCAATGGAATGGCGCCACAGAGGCCATTACAGCAAATACAGTAGTATACAGCAATTTAAACAAATACAGTAAGTCACTGTATGTGGAGTTTGACGTCACAGAAAATTCCCATGATGCAAAGGGTATTACAGTTACTTACTGTAAATGGAATTTGCAGTATTATACTGGGTGATATACAGTAAATAACTGTAGAAATTACAGAAAGTCTAACAGTGTACTTTTTTTAATGTAAAAACCTTCAGCCCTACAAGTGTGGTTTTATTCACAAAATAACAGTGTCTCTTGTACATTCATTCATTCAATCATTAATTTATACACTTATTTAGTATATATAAAATTTAGACTGGGACTTTCTCACATTTTACTTTTCTAGTGATAAGGAATAATAGTTTATTTCCTTCACTCTCTGTATTATCTCACCATGAAGTTGCTGAATTGTAAATTTGGGTGGTTATATGCTAATTTAATTAGGCCTCTGACATACAAAAATCAAGGATTTCAAAAGAAAAAATAACATTTCTGCTAAGTTGCAATGAATGATGGGGGAGCTTGTGAAAGTTCCTGTACATTTTCATTGCTCATCAGACCCTTTTATTTAAAAAGCTGAAGGATAATTTGATTTCATATGATTTGAGCTCTACATTTAGTGCTTTTAAGAGCTGCTTGAGGCAATGCGGCATGAGTTGTTCTGTGAAGACAGGACACTTCACTGACTTCTGTGAAATGCAGATGTTGAGCTTCTGTTTTACGTGAAAGTGAAATAGGATGGTGATTTTTAAATGCAGAGCTCCATATGTATGTATTTATTTATTTGTTTTATTATTACTTTATATGTCTTTTATTATCTTATTTATTTTCTTTTATTTGCATATTTAGTTTCATATTTGTTTATTTATTTTTTCCTTTTCAGTGCTTGCCTAAAAAAGATCACCATTCACTCTCCTTGAAAGCAGTAGCTTGGATGTTTATATCTGTCTTCAGTGAAGCAGAAAATGAGAAGATCATACTGGCTCAGTATGACATGAGGTCAGTAAATGATGGCAGCATTTGCATTTCTGGGTGAACTAGTATTTTAAGCGTCTGGACTGCTGACACAGAGGTTACTGGTGATCTCCAGTAGTAGTAATTGAGATCATACTCCCGCTCTATCAGCATTGTGCCCTTGAGCAAGACACTGAACCCTCGACCCCGGCAATTAGTACTAAACACTTGAGCTCACATACTGTATGATGGAAGTGAGGATACTGATACTGATTTAAAGTTCAGCTTTCTGAACAATCAGTGCAGTTACACATTCATTGGTGCTTAAGAACTAAAATATTTTATTTAAAATACCGTAAAAAGAGTAAAATTGTGAAATATTATCACAATTTAAAATAGCTCTTTTCAATGTGAATATATTGTAAAATGTAATTTGTTCCTGTGATCAAAGCTGAATTTTCAGCAGTCTTCAGTGTCTCATGATCCTTCAGAAATCATTCTAATAAGCTGATTTGCTGCTCAAGAAACATTTCTGATTATTATCAATATTGAAAACAGTTGTGCTGCTTCAGATTTTGGTGGAAACCGTGATACGTTTTGTTTTTCAGGATTCTTTGATGAATAGAAAGTTCAGTACAGCATTTACTTGAAACAGAAATCAAACGGTTGATTTAATGAAGACAAAAAGGTCAACTACACAATAAGCTGTCCGACAGCTCTCGTCCTCTTTCCATATGTTCAGCAGATCTGCTGTTTTTATGCCGTGATGTCCTGACTCGTGTGTTTCACTATAGGAGTGGCTGATGCTAGTGACATTTGCTAATTCAGCAGAAACTCACAGATGTCGAGATTAATTCTCTTTTATTCTGTCTGTATACGGTGTGCTTTATGAAGCCGTATCTACTCTGTGTTGTCTTGCCTGGAGTGGCTCTGATCTGAAGATCTCTGAGGGTTCGGTTGAGATCTATACCGCGAGGCTGAGATACACGTGTGCTGGGAATTCAGATCACATCCGAATGCATCACCACGCACAATCATAGTCTCTGGCTGTGTTTGGAATCGCCTACTATGAATATTGTATTTGCAATATACAGCATATATAAATTCTTCATGCATGCCTTAAGGAAAATCATCATTTGCACAAAGATATGGCTGCACAATTTAGGGTGAAAAAAATCCAACTCTGTTTCTATGATTTAAAAAAAAAATATATATATATATATATAAAAATTAATAAATATTGCACTAATTGATAATTTATTTAACCATACAGAAAGGCCGCCCTTTTCCAAATGAACTGATTATCAGTAGCAGTTTGTAACCATTCTTTTCTTGAAACATTATTTGTTCGGAATAATGAGGTCATGTGACAACAGTGTAGCATTCAATAATGTTGCAATGCTTGTTGCATAATGCATACTGTTTTTTTCATGTCTAAAGCTGTTGACAAACATGTTAAGCAGCCGAGGGTCAAAGGTCATTATAATTTGAATGAGCTGTTCTGCGGTATACGGCAGATATGTTTTGTTTGTTGTTATGTACAATTGGAATAAATCTGTAGAAACTGGGACAGTTAAACAGCTGTAAAGAATATATTTACATGATGCTCACAGTCTGTTCAAGGGGATTTTGGGGACGAAGTGTGATATGCATATATATATATATATATATATATGTGTGTGTGTGTGTGCGTTTGTGTGTGTGTGGTTTGGACAGGATTTAGTATCATATATCCTGGTTCTATATGCTGAGATACTCAATACCTGAACGTTTCATACAAAGCCTGATCTGAACCTGAGAGCTGATGCTAGACTAGAGACGGCAGCTTGAACCATTTTTAATGCCATTGCCAAACATAGAAGCACAAATACAAGTATTGATAATGCATTTATATGATATTATTTTCAAGAACTGGCTAGATCGCAGAAAGCCTTCATGGCAGAATGGAGAAATGTGTGTTTTACTTATTTATTTCTTTTTAAATCCTCCATTATGGTCCTCATTAAATTCTTATTAGCTTTGCCGTGAGAATCATCCTATCCAGTTTTTTTAAATTAAAATTAGCATAGCCAGTACTGATTAAACATGATTTATTTATTTACCTTAGAGTGATCTGGAAAATATATATATATATAGACTTTAAAAAATATATGGTATAATATAACCCTGACATCTTTTTGACATTCTCTACTGATAAGGCATAAATACATGCTCTTATAATAAAGTACTGAGATATTTTATTTTAAAAACTGCCATTAAAGGAAATGCTTTGGCGGTAGTTGACAGATGTAAACATTTATGTCTGAATTTAAAAAAAAAGCATGTCTGTCATTATTTTCAATGGCAACTTTAATTGGATTCACATTTACTGTAAAATATTCATAAAAGTCACCCTGAATTAAACTCACTACTACCTGCTATTGTAATTCATAAATACTTTACAAAACACATCTCTGTTTAGTTTTGCATCACAATATTGTCATAGAACTCAAAAATCTTAATTGTCCTTAAAATAATTTTTGTTTAATTTAAAATAATTTTAATTGTCCTTGTTTTTTTTTTTCATTCCAGTTATATGTAATGTCTTGTTATTTCTCTATATTGATTTTGGGGTGAAATATGACCCAGATATCTGCACTGCCACAAGAAAACAGCTTGCTTAAGCTAAGACCAGGTTTGCTGGTTTAGACCGGTCTAGTTGGACTCCTAACCTGCACAAACTTAGATGATGTTTTATTATGGTGCATTAATTATGCAAAACTGTCACTATTCTGCTGTAGTAATCACGCCGCCCGCGGTGACGTCACGGAGCTGCTCCGCGCGCGCTCTGCGCTCAGCCGCACACGAGGCGCGAGAGAAAGTACTGAGGCTTTACGCGTTCTGCTCTCACTGGTCACCGAGTTTCAGTCTGTTTGTTTGCGGTGGACTAACGAAGTCTTGGATTTCGTGAGGAAGATGAGCAGTTTGGGGGATGAAGCTCACGCTGAACGCTCCTCGGGTGAGTGGGGCTGATTTAAAGCGTTTATGACAATCATGTGGGGGTTTATTGGTCTCCAAAAGTGGTCCGTTGCGCGCGCGCTCAAACACCTGCTCCACCTGAGGCGAGTTCATTTCTCTCAGAAATATGTTTTAGATGATGTTCGGTCATTCAGAGAATACTTTGAATTACTTTAATAGATCTTATGTCGCAGCTGACCCGCGTTTTATGAGGATTTGACTTTTGTATTAAGGCGATCAAACTCTCAGTGAAAGCGTAATGGGAGATGCATGAGCCTCATGCAACCATTATCATATTATTTTTTTTTTCCCAGTACAGAAAAACAGCAGAATCTGAATCCAGGTGCGAGTCTTTAAAAAGTCCAGCAGGTTGGTGAGCAGATAAAAAAAATGATTCTTGGTATTCGTTATTAATTTTGACAAGTAATATGCCTACCTTTAATATGCTACAGTAATTATGATGTGCGATGCATAGGCTACACGGGGGGAAAAAATGGTGAAGAAACAATTTTCACTCACACATTTGCTAGCAGGCTATATTTCCCGAACAATTGCAAAGAAATGGTATCACTTTCATTATAACGTGCATTTTTGATGTAGAAAAACTGTAATATTGAGTGTTTTCTTGTAAAAAGACTCCAATAATAATAATAATTATAAAATAAAACTCCACTGGGTGGAGGGTTCGGGGATTGGTAAAGGTTAACCCTCTATTATACAAATGAAAGTGATTTCATGAAACATTTCGGTAACACTTTCATTATAACGTGCATTTTTGATGTAGAAAAACTGTAATATTGAGTGTTTTCTTGTAAAAAGACTCCAATAATAATAATAATAATAATTATAAAATAAAACTCCACTGGGTGGAGGGTTCGGGGATTGGTAAAGGTTAACCCTCTATTATACAAATGAAAGTGATTTCATGAAACATTTTAAGGTAAAAATAGCTCTTTTAAGGGAACAACTGCACTTTTTTGTACAGAAACATGTCCAGCTCCAAAATGACCAAAAAAGTTTCACATTTAAAGAAAATGTTAAAAGGGGTCATATGATGCTTTTTTTAAAGATCATTATTTTGTGTATTTGGTGTAACAGAATATGTTGACATGCTTTAATGTTCAAAAAACACATTATTTTTTAAAATACTGTACATCATTGTAGGTCCTCTATGCCCCGCCTCTCTCAAACGCTTCGTTTTCTACAAAGTCCCTCCTTCCGACAAGCGCAGTCTGCTCTGATTGGCCAGCTGACCCAGTGCATTGTGATTGGCCGAACACCGCAAGCACTCGTCGGAAATGTAACGCCCCTTACCATAATCGCGAGCTTCATCTTTCAAAATAAATGTAAAGACAGAGCCCGAAAGGGGAACAGAGTCGCGTGACAGACACAGTGGTATGTGTGCAGTACACAAGCCACGGTTAAGACAGCTGACTCCACTGTGATCTCTCTCTCTCTTTCTCTCTCTCTCTCACTCACGCTCACACACACGCGCGCGCGCGCACACACACACACACACACACACACCGTGTAGCTGATTCAGAAGCGCCAGATTGTTATAGCAAAGTCAGAATTACCTCCTCTCCTAGGTTCATGAAACGGTCGTCCATAAAATGCATTGCTGTTCTGTTGTAAGTCATCTTAAAGATTCCTAAATGCATCTACTTTCGGAAGGCCAAATAAAGTGCTTTTGCTTTCTCCTAGAAACACACAGCGTCTCCCTGACATGCTGCTTCAACACTAACTGCGGTTACTGAAACCACGCCTTCTTTCTTTGCGTGCACATTTGGGCGGCATTATGCTAATATTTCCACATAGTGAGGTAGATATGTGGGGTGTGTTAGAACGAGACATTTTAGGGGGGCGTGGCAGAGTCTTAACTTTGATAAAGTATATCTCTTTGGTTTTGAGACTTTAGTCTTTGCAACTTCAGGGATCTTATCTATGCACAATCAGCTTGTAACACTCCAAAGAGAAAGGAAAACTTGAAATCGCATCATATGACCCCTTTAAGTGTCATGAAAATGGTTTATAAATTGCATTGATTTTGGGAAATTAAGTACATGACCTAAACATGTTCTTGACGTTTTCACACAATTTTCAACAAATGTCATTGTTCTACCATAGTACACATTTCAAATCACATGGTATGTATGGGTCAGCAGAGCTTTCTGTCGACCCGGCTTACTTTGATGCATCTGATAACCGATCTTCTCTCCGTCACTGTGACGTTCATGATGTCCGGTGATGAACGGTCTATTGATGGCTATAAATAGTGAGTTTCAGTAAACGGTCTGCGAGGCAAAAGATAATTTCTTCTCGCTGGCCGGTAATGTTCTCTTGTCTGGTCATTAAAGGAGATGTTGGCTTAAGTGTTTATCTTATGCAGAAGTCATTCCCCTGAGTATGCTCCGCTTTGAGAGGCTGCAAACGTCTCTTCCCCATGAATAAAGCACACGCTGGATCTGTGTGTGTGTGTGTGTGTGTGTGTGTGTGAGAGAGGGACACTTTAGTAAAGCAAATTGATGCATAATTAGAAGCAGGCATCCAGAGCTTTAAGCAAACCGTGGAGAGTTACATATTGACTTTATATTCCTGGAGTGTTTGAATGTGATACAGTGAAAACATGATCAGCAGTTTGGTAATAGGTGCACTGGAGCTCAGATGTGCTGTTATTATAATCTCCTGGGATTGTTATAGGAGCATTCCTGCATTAGCCGATTATTTGCTCTGGGTTTGTCCCAGAATAAACCAAACAGCCCAACAGTCCAGTGAAACTACACCTCACTTACATATGTACTTTACCCTATATATACATGCTTGATTAGGGTATTAAGACTAAGTGACTTGTTTACTGATCTATTTGAAGAAATACGTTTCTGCCATTATCTGTAGGAAATATATTGTATTCTCTCTCTCTCTCTCTCTCTCTCTCACCCACTGTATATATATATATATATATATGTATGTATATATAGCTAAGCTCAGTGTGAGAAACAAAGATTTAGACGTTCGCCTATTCGCTGACAATTTTCACTTCCGCAGAAGATCTGAAATTTTATAAAGATATTGGGTTTATTTATTTATAAAGATATTGATTGTTTCATGTCATAAGTAAAATTAATCTAATAAAAATAATAAAAATAATTTTACTCAAATTTAAAATGAATAAAATGTGTCTTTGGGAACTGAAATAAAGAGGAAATACTATAAATAATATTACACGAAAAAAATGGAAACATTCAAAAATGAGATTAAAAAACAAATAAATATGTTAAAGTACTAAAATGACTAAAACTATAACAATATAAATTGTTTTTAATAATGTCATTAAAAATATGAATAAATGTTTTCATATTTACTATATTTTATATATAATATATAATATTTATTATAATATATAATAATATTTATTATAATAAATATGTCATTAAAAAGAACTCAAAATGACATCAGCCCAAAATTACCATAATAAAAAAATGGAAAATAAATGATAATATATACAATAAATAAGGTAAAATGCATTTATTGATTTAAAATAAATAATGCAATTCAAAATATTACAAGTATATAAATAATGTTAATATAACACTGATGTAAAGCAATAACAGTATAATTACATGAAAATGAGCAAATAATGACAGAATTGTAATTTTGCAAGTAAGAGGCTGAGTCGTTTGTGTGTGTTTGTGTCATTGTGTCAATTAAGTTATTTTTGTGCTGTTTTCTCTAGTTCACCTTTATATGAAATTCACTTTAGCTTATTTAATTTAGTCTTTTGATAGAAAAGTGGAAACAACCATTACTGAATAAATAGCTTTTTCCTCCTGTGAGAGAGAGAGAGAGAGAGAGAGAGAGAGTGTGTGTGTGTGTGTGTGTGTGTGTGCGTGTGTGTTATAAGTAATGAAAGACAGAAACATCTCTGATTTCTAGGATGCTGATTATTGACACACACTACTGTGAACTTAAAGTTTCTTTTTTTTTTACCCAATATAAACTCAATCTAATTTTCTAACACCAATCTATTTGAATCAATTGTAAGTTTGTGCAAGTGTAGAGTGTCCCAAATCATTGACTAATGAGATTGCTTATGTAGGATATAGGTGCAGCGAGGAAGCTTTGACCGGCTGGATCTTCTGTCTGCTGTATTTCCCGCGGTCTGTGTTTCAGTACGGTGGTCAGGGAGAGTCACTCTCACTGCTGTCACTCACATCAAACGTGTCACATACATGATTAGAAACACAACCCTGTTAACATGTGCGGCTGATCGGATCTCCCTCAAAGCCTATTGAGAGTGTATTTGCATTCAGGTAGGACTGTGAATCACTGGTCCGTCTCATGGGGAAACACACACACACACACACACACACACTGTTAGACATTTCAAAGGGTTTTTACAGTAACTTACTGGTAACACTGTAGCCAGTAAGTTACTGTAATTGAGATTTACAGTAGCAAACTATATTTGGTTTACAGTTGCAAACTTTTCTTTTTACAGTAAATTCAATTCATCAGTATACTACTGTAATTCATTCATTTTAATATATTTCATTAGATTTTATAATTTTTATATAGAATTCATTTTATTTTTACCCTACATAGGTACTACTGGCATTCAATTAAAACAGACACAATAATTACAAAATATCAAATTATTTATTTAAAACATTGCATGTATAACACTTATAAATACAGTCTTCCAATGCTGGAACAGTGCATCTTCATTTCTCCTGTCTTAGGACATTTTGCAGTGCATTATGTTGTATCATCTGGATTTATCCTAACAAAGAATCTTTAGGCAACAGAAACATAATGGGGAAAAAAGATAAGCAGCCAAAGAATGCATAGCCATCTGCAAAACCCAGGTGCTGATCCAAAACGTGGAAACCACCTTTGCTCACCATCCACTTTGTTAGTGACAGAAATGTCTTCTCTGAAAAACAAGTAGAAATGGCACACTTTTAAAAGGCGAACCCCATATAGAATACACAACTCTCTCAA